AGCCAGCCCTCCTGGCTCGGGGAATTTGGGGGTTGAAGTCCACACATCTTAAAGTTGCCAAGGTTGAGAAACACTAGTCTAATTTCATCTGTTCTGATTAGAAGCAGCTTTTAAAATTCCCAGGCACAGAAGCATTTCTTGCTGTTGCCAGCTGCGTAGAATGCTTTAAACTGTGGGAGGCTTGAATGTGAGGTCAGAGAGGGTGCTGTAAGCTACTGAACTCTCCCCCCTGAAAACATTATGTATCTTGCTTCCACAAGGCTAGAGGAGATCATAAGCCACAGTCTTTGATCTCCTGGAAAGTACTGTAAGCCCCAGCCTTCACTTTTCTAGCACACGTTCAGCCTGGGAGTAATGACAACTTTACAATCGCTTTTGCATGCTGGACAAACTGGTTTGGGTTCAGAAGCTAAGCAGGGCTGGGCCTAATTAATATGCATGTAATGTTTATGAGGGCTAAAAGACCTGAATAGGACATCATGAGTATGTGGATAGGAGAAAATCGCAGGGCTGGAGGCCAGAGTGGGAAGTAAAAAAGAATTACCTTTGAAGAAAGGAAGGGCAAGCCGTATCTGTAGAGATGAGGCCTGTCATTCCTTTCTTCTAAGATATTCTTCCCAAGAAAGCTAAATGAATAGGCTCATGGGATCACCAGGAATTGAAGGAATCATACAATCACACAGTTGGAAGGGAACTTAGAGGTCATCTATTCAGGATGAGGTAGGGCATTTCTGATAGATGAACATCCAGCCTTGATTTGAAGATCTCTAGCTTGACTTGAGGGCCCCTTTCTCTTGTATTACCAAACAACAAGGTCATAAACGCTCTCCTATAACAACAGAAGCTGCTGTCTCTCACCCGTACAATGCTCTGGCATGAGGGCAGGGGCAGCCCCACAAGGCTCGTCCCATTGATGGACATGATGCGGTCTCCAATGCTCAGCTTGCCGGATCGCTCCGCGGCTCCCTTGTGCATCAGGTTTGCAACGACCACGGTGGGAAGGATGGAACCCCAACCAGACTCCACAATCACCACGCCCAGGATCTCACCCTTCTCTTTGGAGATGATGATCTGTATGAAGACACCAGACAGCAGAGGAGGGAGATATCAGGCCGAAGGAGAGGGGGACCAATCCTTTGAGGGGCCCTCGAAATCCACAAATGTTATTGTCATCTAAAGGAGCAGTACAAACTTGTAGGAAAGTCACAAAGATGGAGATATAAGATCCCTCTTAATGTCCATGCAGAATATAGCTCATGGAAGTTGGCAGCTGACTTAAGAGAAGCAGTTTATGTGCCTCCAAACCTGATTATTATAAATCTGTCCAGAACAGGGGCAAGCAAGCTAATTCTTTTGGTCTCCCATGGCCATAGGGACCTTTTTAAAACTAAAATAAGTAGTAGTAGTAGTAGTAGAAGTAATAATAATAATAATAATAATAATAATAAACATATGCTGCCTGACTTCCAGAGATTAAAATTGGGGGAGGAGCGTCAAACCAGATCTGTTATACATAGCGGAGGCTTAATACAGCTATCTTAGAATGTACTATAATGTAGGAAAATATTATGCATCTGGAAATCAGCAATTTGTTATGTATTTTGGGAAGCTCTGGGGACGGAGAACTATGAGCTGCAATCAACCGCAACAGAGAAGGTGGTCCCACGGTTTCCTCGGCTACTCACGCTCTGGCATGACAAACATTGGAGTGTTTCTGCTGCAGGCTGGGACACAGTTATTTTGCCCCAGTGAGTCTTTTTTTCCCACTGAAAGAAGATGTGTGTCTTGCTGCATCACACTCTTGTCTTCATTTTACACCTTTTAAAAAAGCATTATCTTATTTGAGAAATAACTTGCTGAGAAGGAAAACAGAAAGTCTGTGTAAAGCTTTGCTGTATAAAGTAAAACATTCAGATGAATTGTTCTGAGGAATGATAGAATATTCTGGTTTTCTTCCGGACAAGGCTGATCAGTCTGTTCCAGGAAGACTTGCAATTTTCTGGATATTATTTTTCCAGAACCACTTCCTATATCAGAACACTTAGAGCCGGAAAACTGTTAGATCACTGCCCTGTGGGCCTAAATTGCAGAGTCTGGTAGAAAGGGGAAAACTCTGGAGATCCCTGGCATATTCTTACCCTGGACAAAATGTTTTGCACATCTGTTGGAAAGAGTGTAGAATGCATTTGGAATGGAGGTAGCCAACTGCACGACCTAAGTGATCTTCCACAAGATATCAGGATTATCATCATCATCATCATCATCATCATCATCATCATCATTTCTTACCATAAAATGTGACACAATGGATCCTTCCCAAGGTTCATCAAATCCAGCACATTTTATATGCCCTCTTGGGGCACAGAACGGGGGATTTTCCCATTCTCCATTCACTACAAACCCAGAAGGCAGGCCTGCCTTTCAAAACAACCGTTTTATAGCCTTAATCATTTCTTGTGTATCTGCCTGAAGTGTAACTAAACAAGACGGTGAAAAAAATGAGCCTTCTGCTAACGAAAGCCCAGTGGATGTGTTAGACTACAACCTCCATCATTCCCAGCCAGCGGCAGGCTGGGGTTCATGACATTGTAGTCCAACGCATCCAGAGGGACAACCGGGCCAAGACAGGATTGGTGGAAACTGAGTGGCCTGCCCAGCCATTGGTCAATTCTAAGGCCCAGCAAAGGAGACCGTCTGAGATGGGCAGCTGTCTCCTTGGTGGTGGGTGTGTGGTTCCAACGCTCCTCACCTGCCCATCCCTCCAGCAAAACATCCCCTCTCCGTTCTTACTTCCTTACAGTTCTCTTGCTTGGAGAAGTGAGCCAGGTCTCCATTATACAGCTCCTCCCCCTCGGTCAGGGCAGGATCCTCGTCATCATTCTCGCCCTGCGTGGCGCCAAGCTGGCTGGGGTCAATGCCACTGGCCCGCAGGAAGTGCTGGTAAGCCACGCTAAAGACCTGTCCGATGGCTTGGGCTATCAGCTGGGCCTGTGGGACAAGAGGCAGAAGATGACAACCCTTTCTACAGCTTCAGGACTAGCTTCTTTTCAAGAGGGCAGTTACGCCAACAAGACAGGATCTGCTCTAATCAAGGCAGTGGTGCGCATTTGAACCTCTAGCCTGGAGAGACAGGGACTAGGTTCACACATCACACCCACCCACAGATCTGCTTACTGAATCAACTCGGATCATTTAGGTTCACACAACCTACTAAGCCAAAAGGAAGCAAACTAAGGCTTAGCATGTTGCGAGATCCAGGACTTGCTAAGGAAAGAAGGCAATCCATTTTTAAAATGAGTTCAGTTCAACTGGGCTGCAGCAAAGACAGAGCAGAGACCACAGGTCTGGTCAACCAGCCCGACTGAAGGACCACCTGCCACAACCCTAACCTCAAGCAAACCATGTGTGCAATCTCTAAATAGCACTTAGTATTTTAGGCACTTCGTACATGAGAGACCATGTACGATGGTAAATAAGTAATTCCTGGCTATCTTGCAAATATTTATCTATGGATAAGTATTTGCCCAACAGTATCACCTTGAGAGCCAGATCCAATAAGATATATTGGCTATATCATGGATCAGGGATAGAGTATTGAATATTGCAGAGACTTCTACCAGGAAAAGAGTCAGTAAGAGAGAACATCAGTATAAAAACCTGTAGGCTGTCATTTTGGGATAATGATAGTGTGATTTCAAAGTAAACCTTTTAATCCCCCAGATTAAGCGCACTTCCCCAATTTAAGAGGATCCACCACAAGCTGACTTTGTACTACAATGGGGGTGGGGGAGTGGGAAGTTTTAACGTGATGATGCACAAGCATTTGGCACATCGTATAACTCAGCAAAGTTCTTTCTCCAACTCCACTTCTTCTTACTGCACCAAACCAATGTTACAGGTTCCACCAGAGCTCTTTCTTTCCTATCTCAAAATGATGGGAAACCATTTGTGGCAAAAGCAGCAGCAAAGTTCAGCGGGACAGATTTTCAAGCCTCCACGTCACCCACTGATTTAAGAGGAAGGGGAGGACAAATTCCAAAACATCATCGGACAAGCTCTGTGGTGAGCTTTCCACTTCTTTATGGGAAATTAATTAATGTAATTTCTTGGATTTAATATAGCTGCCCGCTCTGGGCAGCTTACAAATCCATAAAAAAGTAAATGATTAAAACCCACAAACACAGAGTGCCTGGACTGAAACAACTAGAACAATCATCAGTACGAAGAACATAAAAAACAATACACAGGATTAACAATACAAAGAATTATACCCATATTAACTCCAGGCCTGGGAATAGGAAACAGGAATGCCCACACACACAACCCTCCCAAGAGAGGACCATGATCACATGCTGTAGGAGGCCTTCTGATTCCTTGAGAAGAGATCCAGAATATAGTGGTATTCTAGATCCAGGGTGCTTCTCACATTTCTAGATCTATCTAATTTTCATCATTCCTGGCAAACTCTCTCTCCCAATGATCCATTACAGCTGCTATCACTAATTGTCAGTGCTGTTCACCATCATTTCCCCCCACTCACGTCGGGCGAGTGGAAGACGTGGCAGATCATTTTGTACAGCTGTTTTTCGGTGGAAGTATCTGCCCGGCGAGGGAGCTTCCGACGGGCCATGAGCACTACAATATTCCCAATGTCGGCAATGTAGGAGATGGTCTGGAGGTGATGATCCATCATGGCTTCCTATGGCGGGAGGCCGGAGGAGGAGGAAGAAAGAAAGAAAGAAAGAAGTCAGAAGTATTGAAGTGATAGGTTGCCATTTTGCAGAACATTTTCCAATTGTCTGGAACTGCCTGTGCTCTCTGGATGTGCTGAATTACAACTCCTACCATCGATGGCTGGTGTGGGTCTTCCGGGCTGTGTGGCCGTGTGCTGGAAGTTTTGTTTCCTAACG